TATAATTGTTGTCAAAAGGGGACCCACATAAATCCTTGCGTAACATCCGGTAACCCACTCTAAAATTGGCCCTGAGCAAAATCTGTTCACGATGGATTTCAAGAGAAAAAAAATCGCAACTCCTTAAAGGTCAACAGACCTAAACATTCAAGGAAGAAAGTGCAATCCAGGAAGAGTGAAAACACAATCGATGCACCTCAAAGCCACACACAAATACAGAGTCACCTGTATCGCTGTACAAACAACACTTGAGGCGTCCTCGGCACGCACAGCGGCCACAATTACGTGTTAGCACGAATACATTTTTAACGTGTGTACATGCATAACTCAAGCCAAACCGAAAGTAGAGTCTCGTACTGAAAACCAAAGAGTATAACCGGAGTCAGTGAAAGTCCAAAGGCGGTTTCGTCTTTGCGCAACGAGTCGGTGCGAGAGACCGAGTGAAGTGTCTCCAGTATTACTACCCCTCTCATTTTTCCATTCCAAGGGGACATCGAAGCACAACTTTAAAAGGATTGGAACGCCTGGGCAATATACAGTTCACGAGCCCCGTCAATTTGCCAGTTTGTCTCAACGTCCAGAGAAGAAAGAGGTGGAAATAAAAAACTAATTCGCAGGCGAATGGCAGCCGGCGATAACGGTTGAGGAATATATGGCTCGCTAGTTGGTGGAAGAAAATAGAGGACGCATTGATAAGGAAAATGATATTCTTACGATAATACATCGCGTAGTATTGTGTGGCTTTGGTAAACATCTTGATTTTTTTTTATAATTCTGATGAAATTTTTTATTTCAAATCTTCCGATTATTTTCTGTTATATTTTTGTGGGAAATTCATCATTTTAGGATTTTGGGATTTTAGAGGCTTTGGTAAACTTGAATTTTTTTTATAGTTCTAATGAAAATATTTATTTCAAATCTTCAGATTATTTTCCACAACATTTTTGTGGGAATTCCATCACTTTCGGATTTTAGGATTTTAGGATTTTAGGATTTCAGGATATTGAGGTTTTGGGATTGAAGGGGCTTTGGTAAATTTGAATTTTTTCTTATAATTCTAATGAAACTTCTTATACCAAATCTTCCGATTATGTTCTACAGTATTTATGTGGAAAATTAATCACTTTAGGATTTTAGGATTCCAGGATTTTCGAATTTTCGGGGCTTTGGTAAACTTGAATTTTTTTTATAGTTCTAATGAAAATATTTATTTCAAATCTTCCGATTATTTTCCGCAACATTTTTGTGGGAAATCAATCACTTTAGGATTTTAGGATTCCAGGATTTTCGAATTTTCGGGGCTTTGGTAAACTTGAATTTTTTTTATAGTTCTAATGAAAATATTTATTTCAAATCTTCCGATTATTTTCCGCAACATTTTTGTGGGAAATCAATCACTTTAGGATTTTAGGATTTTAGGATTTTAGGATTTCAGGATATTGAGATGTTAGGATTGAAGAGGCTTTGGTAAACTTGAATTTTTTCTTATAATTCTAATGAAACTTTTTATTCCAAATCTTCCGATTATTTTCTACAGTATTTTTGTTGGAAAGTAATCACTTTAGGATTTCAGGATTTCAGGCTTTTAGGATTTTAGGGGCTTTGGTAAACTTGAATTTTTCTTATAATTCTAATGAAACTTTGAATTCCAAATCTTCCGATTCTTTTCTGCAATATTTTTGCGGGAAATTAATCATTTCAGGATTTTAGGATTCCAGGATTTGAGGATTTAAAAAAACCGCATGACCTGTCATTTTTCAAATATGATGAATGTTCCGCTTTAAAAAATTCTGAAATATGCCCGACACCTAAACAAATAGACACATCACCCCAACGAAGGTCTGAATTTCAATTTCCTCCATGAACGTATTTTCGTTGAGACGCGATCAGTCATCTGATCCAGGCCCCCGGGTTACCTTCCCTCACTCCGTAAAATGTACAATACCCGACGAAGATGAGAATGAGAACGATATCCCCAGACGTTGTGCCGCACAAAATACCCAACGGCACTATCTCAGTATCGCATGTACCAAACTTACGAGTGAAGGATGGGTAGAAGATGGAGGGAGAATGTGAGTAACACAGCCCTCTTGTGACGGTGTATAGGCACTGAGAATGAGTAATGGGGCAATGAAACGCTCGGTATAGAGGAATTTTGCGCACCAAGCACACGGGTTAAACCTCAACGGGGTGTGCCATGGCTCTAGCAGGATATAACACTGAATACACCTTCTTCAATTGCTGTAGCTATCGTTATTCTACACGGTACAAAATCCCCATATGGCATCGAGTCGTAATTCTTCTCTTTATTAATATAAATTTTAGTCCTACTCCTGCGGGTCTGGAAACTCTTTATTATTTTTTTTCTTCAATTTAGGGAATAGGTGCATTCCTATTTTTGATGTGGATTTAAAGTAGCTCTGCCCTTCGGCCGGGCTATGCTGCACTTTTGGATATTTTCAGTTTTTAAATTTTTGAACTAAATGGCGTGGAAAAAATTGGAAAAATTCGTACCCAGTCAGTATTATCTAAATTAAATTTCGCGAAATATTGATATTTTTTCAAACATTTCCCTCTTATCAATAAATAATAAAACTTGTTTGCAAAACGGTGGAGTATTTTTTATGAGATGTCAAAATTTTTTGATTTGTTCACATCTAATGAAAAAAAATTCAGATTTTAATCTTTGATTACAATGGAAATGTTGATTTTCACGTAAGACACTGGATTAAATCCTGATTTTTAAACATTTCTTCTTGGAAAAACCAAAACAGTAATTAAACTGAGAAAAAAATTAGAATTCCGAATCTAATCGAGTTTTCTGCAATTTTTTCCAGTTTTTAATAATCTTCGAATTTACCGTAAGGGTAGAGCTACTTTAAATTCTATTGAACATCAAGGTCTTCATTTTGTATTTTTTAAAAATCTCATTGCCATACGAAATCCGCTTCCTTGAATATTGCTACTAAACCCTTCATGTAATTGTAATTTTTTTCTGAAAGTGTACCTCTGCTATTTTTCCTATTTTTCTGATTGATGAGGTTGACTGACAGGAACTAGTCGCGTCTGGATGGAGTTGTGTGACAGCGCACTGCCGTGAATAGTTGTGCACACCCATCGACACGTAATCGTTCGCGGAAACAAAAAAATTATGTGGATGCTCGATGGAGTGATTTCATGACTCGTTTCATCTAGTTCTAGTCGTCCAGTCGTTAGCATCGATCTTCGTTGACCTTTCGGAGGAGAATAATTTGAATATTGTGTGTGGAGTCAGCGGGGAAATGTCAAAACTATTTTGAGATTATTTGAATATATCCAATTATCAAGTATTTCAATTAAATTCGGTTCAAAAAATTGAATGACAACAAACATAATCCACATTATTCAAACTATCTGTTGAAACCTATAAATTTTTCAAAAGATAATTTTATTTATTTTATTTTATTTTTAACGAAATTTGTTGCAAGTTCGAGAACTTGCAACTGGCCATCGCCCGAGGGCCTTTAGCCAGGTATTTACAATTTAGTATACAAAGATTTCAAATGGAAGATAATTTTATTTATTCAATTTAATTCCGAAAGTCCAAACTTATAAAAATAGAGAATAAACCAGAGAATTTATAAGTTTAGGTGAATAAAATCCTTGCAAAATGTTGGAACAACGACAGCACCAATCTTCTCGATTAATTTTTGTCTTTCTGTATTTACTCAATAAAGTTTTTACAACTATCATTAACCCCAATGCAATTATACCCGCCCGACGTCTCGAACCCCGTAATTTCCCAGGAATTTCGTTAATAAATTACTGAGAAACCGGTCGTCTAGCCGTGTGTACTTGTGAAATACAGTGAGGAGAAAATAACAACAACAAAGAGAAAAAGAGGATTAGAGGGAGGGAGGATACAAGGCATCGAAGATCGGACGTGCGCGTAAGACCGGAAACGGTGAAGGCCGCGTTGATTATCATGGGGGGGGGGGGG